TCAGATAAGCGTCATTGATGTTAGCCGTGAGCGGGAATCGAACTCGAGCCGCTAACCGCTACACTACCACTCACCCCCACACGCTGAGACTTAGCCTTACCTCACTCGAACCCGTCCTCCTTACTCCAAACTCACATCCCTAGCCCACCTCAGACTCACCTCACCTCATCCTCCTCACACGTCATCCAGCCTCACCCCCCAAACTCATCCCTGCCTCGACGACCCAGGCTGAATGCTATTTACTGTACGTGTTGCCTGTAGCATCGACTATCAGAATACTTATACTGGAGGAATCCTATGAGCTATATAACATCTATTTTTATGGTACTGGAGATGCTGTATAGACTGTACTGCTCTGTATAGACCGCGCCGTGTAGACTGCATGTGCTGATCACCCCCCCCCCCACCTCGGCACCGTGCCGGACAGCCAGACAGCCCTCCACACTTTCACCCCCTTCACCCCACCACCGAGACGGGAAACCGCGGCACCCGGGCGCCTCAAACTTCCCCATTCCGTGTTCACGGCGGCGGCGACTCCACACGCGACCGGCACGACGCGACAGCCCCGGAACAACCACACAGCCACATCAGATTACACGACAACCAACCTCTCGGTCGCTCCCACTCTACAGCTTCCTGTAGACATCGCTCCATCTCTCCCCCCCCCTCCCATCTAAAACTCTCCCCAAATTAACTCTCAATTTCTCTATCCACAAACCCTCCTCCCAATCTCACACATCATCTTTCTCTCATTCTCCATCCGCATATACCCCCCTCCCCCATCTCTCTCCATCCCCACCCACGTGAACTCCACATCTACAAACCACTCTCTTCCATCTTCCCACATCTTTTCTCCATCTCTCATTCTCTTCCCACAAAACACCACCAAACCCATGCCCCTCCCCAGTGGTACACCGTGGGAGTACAGTACAACCCTCGACCCCCCCCCAACCACCTCCTGGGATCTGCGATCTCCGTTAATGATCTCAAACGGGGAGAAGCGCGTTGTGTGTGGGGTGCGGGGGGTAGCTGTTACGCACTATTAGTAACCCCCCCTCCAACACGCTCTCCTCCCTCCCCTGCCGCGCCGGGAGGGTGAGGCGTCATCATTGAGGCTTAATTAGGCGGCACAGCGCCCGTCTAGACGCACAAAGCGAGCGGGAGCCGCCCCGCACTTTCCTGCGTCGCGGCGCCCCGCAGCCTTTTACGGCCACTTTCCCTGCAGGGCCCGCGGGTCCCGTGCGAAGAGGGGTGGGATGGGTGATGGTGGTGGGGGGGGAGACCGGGGGCCCAATCCGTGTCCCCGCGAGTCCAATCTGTGCGTCTCTGTGACCCCAGTCTGGGTCCCACAGTTTTCAGTGGCCCAATCTGTATCCATGTCTTCACGGGCTCCAACCTGTCTATGTCCCCTAGGTTGCCAGGGCCCAAACGTCAGTCCATAGTTTTCAGGGGACCAATCTGTGTGGCTTCTCTTCACTGGGCCCCTACTTCTGTGCTCCCGGGACCCAGTGTTGTGTCGCAGTCTCACCTGGGACCCAGCATGAGCAATGGTCTACTTCACTGCTGAATGTCATCGCCACCAACCGCAGGGTTGCAATGCCACAGTGGCCAGATGTTAACTACCTCAGCTGGCATGCAGGCGGTCGTGGGTTGTTCAATCCCAACCCTGACGCTTGTATAATTGGAGTTTGCACGTTTACACCGAGGTTGCATGGATTTTTCTCCGGGTCCTCCGGTTTTTCCCTCCACATTTAGAATCAACATGCGTTTACAGTATTTGGCTGCTTTAAAAATTTCCACATCATTTGTGGCCAGGTCGCTTCTGAAAAAGAGCTATATAGCTCAGTGGGCCTTACCTAGTAAATAATAAAAAAATGTTGAGTTTAATTACTCCCGCAAGCGAGCTGAGATCATCCCTCTTGGCCCTGCACGCTCCTTCTGACTGCCATTCCGTAACCAGTCTCGACTAGGCCTAGGAAAGGTAAGGAAATTTACCCTTTTTACCGCGTAAAAGGGTAAAGGTGTCGACATACCAAGGGGTAAGGTAAAGGGTAGGGTAAAGGTAGCTCGGAAGAATTACCCGGTAGGGTAAAGGTAGCGCGGTAAATACGGTGCCTTGTTTACCGCTAAAAGCTCCGTGGCGCAGTCCGTGGCTTCCATTAAATAAGTAATATTTTTTAAAAACTTTTTTTAAAACACGCTTTAATGAAATGTACGAGTAATGGCAGAACTCCACGACTCCAGGAAGTGGCCCCTAAGCTTGCCGTAACGTAAGGGGCCGTGGCCAAATCCAGCCAACGTCAGTTTACCGTGGACAATTAGACCCAAGCCGAAACATAACATATAAAAAAGAATGTTTAAAAATATATTTTTATAATATAATATAGTATTGTCATCAGTATGACATAAGTATACCAAGTTCGCAGTCGAAACCACATTGGGAAGTGGGTTAAAATTGAGTTACAAGATTTGAGGATACAACAAGCGTGTAAAATTGGAACCATCGAGAGTATTCTATACTCATTAAGCGCTCTACCTAGCGTTTACCGTTATAAACCTTTTCATGTGTAGTACCCCAGTAATTACCCTGTAATCAGGTAATTTGTATGGGGTAAGGGTAATGGGTAGGGTAAAGGTAGGCTCGTTGCTTTTAACCTTTTACCTTACCTGCTAAAGGGTAAAAGGTTGGGTAGAGTGATTGTATTGTGGTATGGTAAAAGGAAGGGTTAAGGTAGGCTCGTTGTTTTTACCTTTTACCTTACCAAGCCCTAGTCTCGACCAACGGTCACCATCCCCTATACACACTATATGACCGACTAACCCACCCCGAACATGCACACTACAATCACTGCTTACTCACCTAACACCTAACACGACTACACTTATCCGCACTACGCACCTAACTCACCCAAACAATGCATCCTCACCACACTCATACATCCACTACACCCAGCCTACTTACCAACATAACCTTTACCCTTTGCAACACCTTTCATTTTACCGAACACTCTTACTCACCCACTACGCTCACCATCACCGAACACTCACCAACTACACCCAATCCCTCACCCACACCACGTGATAGGTCTCAGCCCAATGATTCCCTCAGCCGGGTCACGTGACACCGCCCTGATCGAAACCACGTGACTCGACAGCCGCCGCCTCCTCCCCCTCCCAGGGTGCACCGCGCGCATTCAGTCCCGGATTTTGCAATGTGGCCCGCGCCTTAACCACAACAAGCACTACCACGAGACTATCACAACAAAACACAACCACGATAATCACATCCACCACTACCACCACGAGAATAACTATCACAACAAAACACAACCACGATAATCACACCCACCACCACTACCACCACGAGAATAACTATCACAACAAAACACAACCACGATAATCACACCCACCACTACCATCACGAGAATAACTATCACAACAAAACACAACCACGATAATCACACCCACCGCTACCACCACGAGAATAACTATCACAACAAAACACAACCGCCAACACCAGACTCCTAACCACAACGATAATCACAACCACAGTTAACAAAACCACCCTGGGAGCCACAACGGGAATAGCAACCTTCGTAATATCACAACCACGCGCGGTAATCACACAGACACCATCGACCACATCACAACCACGACCGTCACACCACGCGGTCAAAACCAAGTAGGTAAAAGTTTCAACAAATTTCTGATTTCCCCAGAGCCCCCAACCAAGCAGCATTACTAAAAACAGAAAAAACTGCAACAACCAGAATCCCACGATACCCCGGGTCACGAGTTCCAGTACACTGTGTACAGATTTGAACGGCCCTGTCACAACCAAACCATGCCCTTCTAGCTGCCAACACTCAGCGTGAAGCTGCCGTGTACGGGGGGGTGCAGGGCGTGTGTGTTTGTTTAGGGTTGTGGTTTGTGTGTACGGGGCGAGTGTTGTGTCTGTGTACCGTGTGTATTTATACAAGTTTGTGTGTTTGTGTAGATACTTGTATGTATGTGTGGCGCGTTGTGTGTATTTGAGGTGTACAGCGTATAGTTTTTGTGTATATGTGGGTTATGTGTATGGTGTGTGTGCCGTGTGTGTATTTATTATGTAGGCTTATCGTTGTACTCATTTCGTGTCACCACCACCAACCATTAAGCACCTGAAACAGTTAATTATATTTTCTGATATCTTCTGTTGCCTGCGCCTACTTCAAAAATAGTCGATAGTGACAAACACCAAGTGTGCGTGTGTGTCAGTGATTAAGTGTGTGGGGGGCATGTGTTTGAAGCCATGTGTTCTGGATGTGTGTGTTGTGTGCCTGTGTGTTCTCCAGTGTTTTACAACTGTACTTAGATGTGTAGGTGCGTCGTGACCACGTGTGGCCTCGTGTGTGGTGTGTGGACTTTGGTGGATTTTGTTTGGTGTTGTCGTGCCCACGTGTTTGGGTGTTTATGTGTGTGCAATGTGGTGTGTATTACGTAGATGTGTTATAGTTATAGAACGTCATCTCTTTACTGTTACGCAGCCATGGTATGTGCCATGAGAACATCACCACCATCATCACAACAACAAACAGCACAGACAAAACAATCACCACCCCACCACTGTCAAAACAGCACCCACCAAGACCACCATCACCATCATGGTTGTTACAACAGCCACCCTACTCAACTACCACCACCATCACGGTCACGACCATGATCCACCACCAGAACCCACCGCCACAACCATCGCACCTATAATTACCGCGGTTTAGTACGTACGGTGCTAAAGAAGTCCACACATACACCACAATCACCACGACCGTCACCATCACCACACCGTTAACATCACAACTACCAAGCCCACCACAATGATAACCACCACCACCACCACCGCCGTCACAACAGCCATCACCACCATCCATGCAACCACCACCACCGTCACAACAGCCATCACCACCATCCATGCAACCACCACCACCAACAACAAAACAACAACAACCACGTGAGCCACCCACCTTGCTCCCGAGGGCCGCCACCGCTGCGACGGCCGCTGCCGCCGCCCTCTTGCCGGCGTGCGCCGCCGCCGCTCCGTGCGGCTCGAAGCGCTCCTTGAGGGCGTCCAAGAGGCCGCGCATCCTCTCCCGCTCGGCGCGTTCCGCGTACTCCTCGCTCAGCAGCAGGTAGCGCCTCCAGCGCGCCGGGTCGAAGCCCCAGTGGCACGTCCTGTTCTCGGGGCTGCGGTGCGAGTGCGCGACGAAGCGCTGCGGCGGGAAGAGCAAGCGGCAGTCGCGGCACTGCACGCACGCCGCGCCCGGGTGCGTGTACAGCTCGGGCACGAAGAGGCCCTTGCACTTGCCGAAGCACTCGTGGTAGATCCTGATGCTCTTGTCAGGCCGGATAAGGGCCGGGCCCACGCCGCCAACGCCGCCGCCGCCGCCGCCACCGCCGCCGGGCGGGGAGCAGTCTCCCAACCCGCCGGCACCGCCGCCGCCGCCGCCCCCTCCGCCGCCGCCGCCTCCGACTCCACCGGTCCCGCCGCTAACGCCGTCGCCGGCCGCTCCGCCGAGGCCGCCGCCGGCCGCAGCCCCCATCCCCTTGCGGCCCGCGGCCGGGCTCGCCCAGCCGTAGAGCAGCGCGTTGCAGAGGCGCTCGGCGTCCGTCTTGGTGATGAGGCCGCAGCTGGGCGCCGCGAAGGGAAGCACGCCGAGCACCTTGAGGATCTCCAGCTGGTCGGCCGTGCACCGCGAGCAGTAGATGTGCAGCTCGTCGCACACCTGGTTGATCTGCTGCAGCGAGAAGTCTCGCAGCACCGTGTTGAGGATCTGCGGCAGACACAGGCGCTTCTCGCCGCCCACCACGAAGCAGGTGATGTTCTCGCCCTCCAGCAGGGTGCCGCAGCGCTCCGTCGAGCTGTCGGGCGGCACCAACAGGGGCCCCGGCAGGGCGGGAGGCCTCTGCAGGCCCGCGGGCGCGTCCGCCGCGTCCTTGCGCGAGATCAGGTCGTAGGCGCAGCGCGCCGTGAAGGCTGCGGGCCCCCCCAGGGAGGACATGCTGCTCAGGTGGAACTGACGAAGGGTCTGCTTGAGACCCGGGTGAGCCTGGAACTGGTCCGACGCCACGGCCGCAGCAGCAGCAGCAGCGGCCGCCGCCGCCGCCGCCTCCTCCATGGATCGCGCGGAGTGGTGGAGAACCCGGGAGGAGAAGCTGGGCTCGACGCGCCGGGGCTCCCGGCTCGACTACGCCTGCCTTGGGAGGTTGGGTTGAGGAGGTGAAGAGGTGAGGAGGTGAAGAGGTGGTGGTTGGTGATGGTTGCGATGATCATGAGGGGAAGAGAGGCGGATGCGGAGATGAGCACGAGAGATTTACGGGATAACGATTCAGAGTCGGGTAGGCGGAGTGTCGGGCATGGTGAGTAGTAGCGGGGTTGAGGGACAACAGGATAACCGTAGGGGAGATGAAGATGATGTGAAAAGAGGAGGGATAGAGGGGGAGAAGGATCAACAACACGAGGGATCAAGACCCCCCCCCCCCTCTCTCCGCCTCGCCTCCTTGCGCAACAAAGAGGTCCGGCGAGACGACCGCGGCGGCCCTCTCCGCCAGGGGTCCCCGCGTCTCCCCGGGTCCACGCGCGGGGTTCCCGTGCGCGAGGAGCTCGCCCTCCTCCTCCTCGTGTTTCCCTCGGACCCCCCTTCTTCTCTCGCTCGCTCGTTCGCTCCCTGGGGGTCCCCGCGTCTATCCCGAGTCACCCCGGCGCCCGCGCGTCCCTTCTTACCTCGTCTCTCGCTCCTTTTCGCTTCTCTCTCCACTCCTCCCTTCGTTTCTCCTCTTGGTTCGCGCTCCGCTACCGCCGCCGCCGCCGCGCACCGCCGCCGCTGTCTCCGCTCTCTCTCCTCCTCCTTCCTCTCTCTCTCCCCTCTCTCTCCCCACTCCCTCCTCTCTCTCTCCTCTCTCCCCACTCCCTCCTCTCCCCGCGCGTTCTCCCCCGACTACCCCTCCCCCCTTCCCCGCCTCCTCGGGCCCCGCCGCGCGCCTCTGGCATTGAACCCCAGGCGGAGGGGCGGGGCTCGTGGGGGAGGGGCGGTTTGGGGGGGGGCGGGGCGTGTGGGGGATGGTGGAGTGTGTGGGGGGGGGCGCTCGCGATTCCCGGCAGCGTGCACGGCCCCCTCCCCAATCCCCCTTCCTCCCCAACAGCCCCGCCCTTCGCCCGGACACCCCCCCCCACCTCCTCCACCTCTCCACACCCGCGTCATGGCAACGGCGGGGGGAGGGGCTGTGGCCGCGTGGTAGCGGGGCGGGGTTGGGGGGAGTTGAGGGGAGGGGTTTTGGGGGGTGGGGTGGAGGGGGAGGGGGCATCCGTTTGTGGTTAATTCATGTTCCCGCCGTCGCGTGAATCAGCTCATTCAGACGCCGGGCGCCCAGACAGACGCCTGCACCCCCCCCCTACCGCCCCTCGCCCCCCCCGCCCCCCCCCCCCTCCACCCCGCCTGGGGAAACGGACATCCCGAGCTTCTTGCTATTTTAAGCGGCCGACGTGCGGACCCCACTGGGTCATAGGGATGAGAGGGGGGACCTGGGGGGGGGAGAGGGTCACGGGGATGAGAAGGGTTGAGATGGGGACCTCGAAAGGGGTCTTGGGGATGGGAAAGGGGGGGACCCCGTTTGTGTCAGAGGCGATGAGAAAAGGGACCGCCCCACAGTAAGTCGTACGGGTGAGTAGGTGGACCCTAGGGGGTCATAGGGATGAGAAGATGATTTGGAGGGGTTAGAGAAAGGGACCCAGAGGTGACCTCTCTTGCCCATTCCCTTCCTCTTCCCTCCCCTCGACCCTCCACTCCTTCCCGTCTCTTTCCTACCCTTGCGTGATCCCCAACAACCCCTCTATCGCTACGGTTACTCCTTCCTCAATCCTTGTAGCACGCCCCTGCCATCTAAGGCATTCCACTCCGTGTCACCGTTTCCTAAAGTGCCTTGAGTGAATGTGCTCTATACATATACAATTAGATCAGAAGGGGATCCCGATGGTCTAGGGATGAGAAGGGGATCCAGGGGTCATAGAGGAGGGGACCTAGGGGTTATAGGAATAATATGGGGATCTCAGGTATTAGAGACCCCAGGGATCGTATGGGTATGATGGGACTCCCAGGGGTCACAGCCATGAGGGACGAGTCGGGGACCCAACGGATGGGATCGTAGGGATGAGATGTGATGAGCAGGGGACCCCCTATCTGAGCCTAGCGCTACTCACGGGCGCCCCCTGGCGGCTTGAGGACCCATAGGCACCGCGGTGGGGGGTGAGGGGGGGAACCTCTGGCTCACGGTTCTAGGGCTCATCCGAGCTGACTCGATTCGAATGACCTCAACACAACCCCCCAACAGCATTGAGGTTGATAATGTCCAGAGCGCATTCATCATCATCATCATGGGCCTTATTCAGTCCGTTGCTGGATGGAGGCCTCCACAATTCGCCTCCATCCGTCAGCTGTCTCGTGATGCGACCGCCATCCCTCTCGCTCCTCCCGTGCACGAGCGGATTGATAATTATCGCTCCATCTCCACGGGTACGTGCTCTGCAGTGGGTGTGTACTTCTTTGGCTGGCGTTCCGTCACCAGTATCAAGTAGTCGATGGCCCCTGTCCAACCGCTACCCAACTTTTTTTTATTTTTAGTGACTTTGCCTTACCTTTTCTCGATATTCCACGCCAATCGTGTTTTTGTATCGTTTGTTGTAACTTGCTGACCCGCTCCTACAGGAACATCTGTGAAAAAGAGCTTCATGGCTCATCGGGTTTCCTCCAGTCTAATTAAATATTCTGATTCTGATTTGTACGCGTGCATAAACACTCATAGCAAAATACTCTTTTGCTGTCTGACCTGTCGGGTAATTTCCTTTATTCAGACCTTCCTCACCCACCTACGAAGTGCTAGAAGGGATGTGTTGTTGTTGACTGAACGTGTATATGTGTACACGTGTCATCACGTGTTTGCTATGTGTCAATCAATACCCTGGACGCCTATGCAAACGAGATGTTCCCATGTCATGCTAAGATACCCCCCCTCCCCCCATCGAACGCCCCCTCCCCACCCCTTCGCGAATATTAATGAGTTTTATCGATCAGAATTCGTAAATACATTGGCACGTCTAAATCATATCTTTGTAAACGTGACAAGCTCGTCGGATGGTGGCAGGTTGAACGACACGGATTTTAGCATCAAACGACTGCCACGCAGACTAACCCAAAAACAAACATGAAATTATTCGGTGACGCTGCATTGGCGGCAGTGTGCCATGATGGAGGGCTGTTGCCCGAAACGTCAGCGATTATGTTTCCCCAAAAACCTCTCCCATTCACAATGTAGTGGAGCCAGAATAGCGGTCCGACTGCACCCCATTGTGATGCACAGTACGCTGCTCGATGTCACAAGCGGTTACAGATCGAAAGTCAAAGTAAGTCAGTGCGTCGAAGTCGCAGTGATATCGTAACTCTCATTCGCCGATAAGTGGTTGCTAGGGGATTACGTCATCACCCCTCACTACACTAACCAATCAGCTGCCAGGAAGACGTAGCCCCCCGCCCCACACCACCCCCCATGTAACATGGCCACCATACCCTCACCTCACCCAACATGGCCGCCGTGACGTAATCGCCTTGTACCCTGCAGCCAGTCTATGACTGAGATAAATATCTATATGGTGATGATTATACCTTACATTTGTGATTAATGTTATTTAGAATCAGAATATTTATTTATCCTATGGGGAATCCGATGAGCTGAGAGGCTCTTTTTTCATAGATGTCCAGTAGAGGCGGGGTCAGCGAGCAAATGACACAAGAAACGAAAGGGGTCCAAAGTGTGAAACATAAACAGCTGTAAATAAAGTATACAAGTACAAATTTCTTAGTAATACATTACTGCCGATTTTTCAAACCTAAATACAAGCTTGGGCAACCAATTGTAGGTCAATAATTACGTAAAAAAAAAAATACTTTGACAATCGACGAGGTCCCGCGCTCTCGTAACTTTACGAAGTGTTTCTGTCCCAAGTCCCTCGTGGAGTCGGAGTTTACGAGATGTCCCAGCTTGCACCACTTTGAGTATCACAAATAAGCAGACGGAAATGTCTCTTTCACCTCTCAGTTTCTCCACGTAACAAAAACAAGAACGACGACAAAACAAGCTTGACTTGAAGCTTTCGTGACTGCAGGAATTCATACGCTTTGCTTCTTTCGGTAAAGTCATCACGTAGTAGGTAGAATTAAAATTAAAATATTTAAAAAAACATTGTACCGATGCATTCTTTTATTTTATTTCTAACTCCGCGACTTTACCGAAAGAACGACGAGAATACAATAAAATGTCTTGCACATCCCATCAGCGGCACGTGGCCATCTGGGAGAGTTCTTGTTTGTTGTTGTAACTTGCTGGACATCGGTGAAAAAGAGCTTCATGGCTCATTGGATTCCTCCTCCGGCATTAATAACGATTGTGATTATGATAATGTCAACAGCATTGATTCAAGACAGGCGAGAACAACTCTGGACAGGTTTCGATGTGCAAGTGTCTCATGAACAGAAGTTAGACCAAAACACAGAGTTTTCTTTCGCATGTACCGAAGTTTAATATTTTTTTCTGACACCCATCGCTCTCAAATTATTTTACACTTCTTTTTCGAGTTTCGTGTATTACGTTTACGACAGTCAGTTAGTTTGTGCAATATTTCCTGAGGACCCTGCTGTATTCGTTCTCGGCAATAGTTGAAGTTTTTGTTGTATTTTGTGTTTGTTTTGCTTCTGTGCTCGCGCAGCACCACGGATCTCGCGTGTCAAAATCAGAACCAGAATATTCAGCTGAACGGGAGGGCAAGAGCTGGCGAGACGGAAACCATCATCCTCGAAATAAATCAAACCCAAACTCAATCAGCAGCAGAACTAGGCCGTGCTTGAATCAATGCTGGTGAACTGTCAGACGCTTCAAGCAAGGACCCGAACTAAAACCCCTTTCCGCTCGTGGAGGCTCCTCTGGGCTGCTGGCGTGGTGGGCCAGGCGCTGCTGGTACGACCCGCGGACGCGAGGGGGCGCTACAGGCCAGAGGGAAAAATCATTGATGGATCACAATCGATTTTTCAGAATACCAGAATGTTGAAGGGAAACAATAAAAAATATATAAAACAATAAAATTCTCACGACGTTTCGACTGTAACACAAACAGTCATCATCAGGTGTGAAAAACCAACGACAAGAAGCATTTGCTATATATTTTATTATTTTATTGTTTCCCTTCAACGTGACTTTACCGAAAGAACCAATAATATGAATCACTGCAGTCACGAAAGCTTTAAATCAAAATTTAAATACCAGAATGATTCATAATTTATACTGCAGGAGGAATCCGATGAGCTTTAAAACTATTTTCACAGATGTACAGTAGGGGCAGGTCAGAACGTTACAACAGCAAACAATACAGAACCACGACAGGAGTGCGAAGTATAGTGAAGCTAAACAAATCAAATTTCGATTTAAAGCTTTCGTGACTGCAGGGATTCATATTCTTGGTTCCTTCGGTAAAGTCACGTAGAAGGAAAATAATAAAATAAAACAATAAAATTATCACGACGTTTCGATTGCAACACAAGCAATCATCATCATGTGTGAAAACCACAGCAAGAAAATTTGAAAAAATATATATATATTGCTGTGGTTTTCACACCTGATGATGATTGCTTGTGTTGCAATCGAAACGTCATGAGAATTGTATTTTACGTGCATTCTTTTATTATTTCCCTTCTACGTGACTAAACAAATCACTGAACTATATACAAATACAACTAAACTATATTCTATCTTATTCTTAGTTTTTTCGGTAAAGTCACGTTGAAGAGAAACAACAAAATAACAAAATATATATAAAACAATAA